TCAATGTAACCTTCGTCCTCCTCATTTATCTCTCGTTTTCATCAATCCCCGGGTCTTGCCATTGAGCTCATCAGTAGTCCCGCTCCACATAACATTGATCCAGATCTTCAGCATTGTTCTTCATCCTACTCCACCACCAACAATGTCCGTGGGACGATATTCCCACATAGTTTATGGTGGCCTTTAAAATGACGACGTCACTGATCACCACACACTCCTCACGTATCCTTTTTGCACACACCATGTCAGAAAGACAATTTACATACTTTCTAAGCCTTTCTCTGATTGGAGTCTTTCCTCACTAGACATTTCTTACCTTTCTCAAAACTAAACATCTACTTCTCAAATAAATCAATCACATTATTATCAACTGTGGCTGATAAAATAGTTCACTGGAAGGTGGACAAATTGTGCTGTTCTAATATCAGACTGGCTGCTGATTAATACTGAAAATGTCAGGTTTGCAAATGAAATTTGCTATGGCCTAAAATAAAATATGAATGTAACAACTGGCATTGCTGGACAACCCTGGAGGTACATTAAACTTTGAAGCTCCTACTTGTACTAAAACATAGTTTTACAAAATGTATTACTTCTGCTGATAATGTGCTTACACGGTGCATGTTGTTAAATGAATTAGAGTTTAATAAAATTACCACAAACTAATTGGCATACAGCAGACCTGGGGCCAGGTGTAATTCCAGCTCAAGAGGACTGCTTGGTTTCTGGAGCTTTAGGCAAAAGATAATTATTGTGCTGTGTGTTGTCTGCTGTGCACTTCATGGGTACATGAAGCAGTTGAAGTATATGTGCAGTGCACAAAGTGAGATGCGGTCAGTAGGAATACACTGCACATTTCTGCACTCAGGACATCTTAAGGGGTTAATCCAGACATTAAAAAAGGTACATACAAGGGTAAATGTGAGAAAACCAACATAGTAATACCTGATATCCACATCTCAATATCCAGAACAGAAAGCAGCTTTCCAAATTTGTATGCACCAAAGTTTGTTTGTAATTGAGGGCATTTCTGCCAGGCAACAGTGATTACAGTTTCTACACCACACGAGCCAGAGCCACAGGCCTGCCATATAAAATCTGGCACATATCAGCAGGGAACAATAAGCACAAGGTTGTCACCCAAGGGACACTTTCATTACGTGACAAAAGTGAGAAGGTAATTTGATTTACTGTTTAGTTAGGCAACCTCTGTCAGACCGGGAGCCATACACAGATGTGTGTGTGTGTGTGTGTGTGTGTGTGGGGGGGGGGCATGAAGATTGACTACAAATGAGCCTGCTGACCTGCCAGGGTTGCGCATTCTGAAAAACAATTTGTGCTATCATTTAGTAGAAGTTATCAGTTGGCAAAATGTGTCCCATGGCTTATTTTTGACTAATGGATCAGGTGCATAAAGATAACAGCCCCCGGGTTGAACAACATTTCCAATCCCAGAGGGCAAAGGTATGTGAAACACCAACACCACTTTGGCAAGTTTGGAAAAGGAAAAGGGAGGTGTATGCTGTGATGTGAAAGCAGACTTATGATACTACTGGTTTCTGATATCCAATGTATCTAATCTTTGTGACTAGTATCCATATAGTTCTCATTATTACAGCATTAGCTCTGTCTGAACTGTGCATGTGCTACTGTACTAGCGCTACATATAGACATATGTGTAAGTGAATTAATGTGATTTGTGCCTTTTAGTTCAGCAAGACACCGTCAGTAATTGATACCATAAAAAGCTTTTGTTGTTTATGAGAGACCTCAATATCAGATAAAGCTGTACAAAAGTCTAATCTTTCAATAAGATTAACAAAGAGAAGACAATGTCCAAAAAGAAGCAAATCAAAAAAGGGAAATAAAAAAAAAGGGAAGGCAAGGAAATGGGAAATTGCATTATATCTAATCTTCTTTCCTCCAGATGAGTATTATTGTAACACAACACCACATTTTACATCTAGACTAATTAATATAATGAAGGACTTTCTCATGTAAAACTTTTATCTCTCTGGATATATATCTCTCTGAGACTGGAATAACAAATCTGGATTAATACAACAGTGATCTCAAAGCTTTTTCCCCTTTGATGGAACCCAGATAACAACAGATTGAAAAGTAGATGCATTACCATATTAAGGCTGTAGTATATAGTTAGGAAATGTGTAGAATGTTGTAGATGGTGACAAACGAAAAGCAAAAAATGAACACCACACTTGCAGTTCTTGCTGATTCCATCCTTGATCGCCTCTGACTCACTGCAGCCACATTTGAAAGGACTGCTATGTTCCAATCAGTGTGACAGAGCCACGCCACACTCAGTCCTGCTGCACTGGCAGTTATACCTTTCCACAAGCTGAACTGTTAGTTTTTCGTTATGTCAAACTGGTAAAGCACATTCTTAAGACAGTATACCGCAAATTCTCTGAGTGGCAACTTCTTAGGGATGAAGGGTTGCCTGCAACATCAGAGACCTTTTTCAAACCAAGGAAAATCTGCTGGAAGGGGAGATTGATAAGCATTTGACATTTTTCTCTCTGTTGATGTGTTTTCCTATCTTGTTCTTGCTTTTGAGGTGGAGGTTCAGTCTGAAGTTGTAATAATAGAATGTTGAGTCAAGTGGGTTAGAAGTCTATTGTTGCTTCCTACAGCACCTGTGACAAGACAGTGAAACTGACTTTTAGGGCGCTCAAGCAGTGCAGGGCCAGAATATGTTTGGTGACTAAGTGAAGAACAGTCTGGAATATATAACGCCACAGGGATTCTTTTGTCTTTCCCGCGCTGTCTGATGACGCATAAGCCTGTCAGAACCATTTTTAGGGATCCAGCGCAGCCACTGTGTTGTTTTGAGGACGGGTGCAGTTGCATTTCCTGCTCTTCCATTCTGGTGGTGGTTATTTGTCTGTGATGTTCAAGGCTTTGCAGGAGCTATTATGCAATGAAATGTTGCAATATGCTTTTTGCTGTATCCACTTTCAGTCAAACTATTTTCACTTTACTATGAAAGTGGAATTTATTGCAACAGAAGCAGCGGTATCTTGATGTTTCGTTCGTAGAATGTGTAAAGCTTTGTACAAAGTTTCTAACACATGATTCCTGTTGTAAATGTGTAGTCTTCAGTCCCACATAAGCACATCGCATCATCTGTCTTATTTTTTCTGACATCACCCAATCATTATCAAAGGCTGGCTTGATGCTTTCTGCCACATGTCAGCTAAGCTTTATGTGTAAAATTAGTGCTGTGCCCCGTTACCAGTGCTAATATCCTATCTGCAGCGTTATACTGCCAGTGACCTCTCACCTGCAAAAGAAAATCACACCCATTCAGGAATATTTATAAAAATATATTTCACAAAGTAGGAAACAATACAGGGTATCTTAGATTACAGTACAGGGAGTAAATAATTGAACATACACATTTATAAGCATTAAAGCACAGTAGAAAATATGATCTGCATGTAGGACTATTCCATATATATTGTTTAGTCTACCGAGAACTGCCATAATACTGTATCAGTACAAACTGAGTATGCACGCAGCTGTAGTGCCATTGAAATTCTCATTATGTGCAAGAGCTAACGTGCAGAGACAAAACCTACCACCTCATTGAAAGCTAATGACGTTAGCAGTAACTCTATGTACAGTACAAGTCTTTTTTATTGATATCATACAGTGTAAGCACAATATGCACATGGTCTGGATTTGCGTTGTCACTTTTCTTGGGCTACTGCAATCTGTGTTTCCTAAATGGGATCTGATGTTTAGAGGAAGTCACATACTTAGGTATCAATTAAACTATTGTGCTCAGATGCCCACTGGCTGCACCTCAAAATACATTATGAGATGTATTTTACACAGAATTAGCACATGTCAGAAAGGCGCCCTTCCTGCAGTCCCAATTAGTTAGTTCATCTGTATTGTTACAGTAACTTAGAGCGCTTGTTTGCCTGCTTACATCTAGTCTATATCATCAACTGCAATAAATTCATGATATGGTCTGGCTGTTATGAAATAGTGTTCAAGTGGTTGAAAAAACAGTTGAATGTGAAATTATCTAAACACTCACTTCAAATAGTCAGCACAGAAAAAATGACTTAAGAACAGATATACAAAAACTCAGAACAATGATGAAGAATCAACACATCTCTTGTCAAAAAACAGTAGATTACAATTGTATTTAATGTTGCTTCTGTAAAAAGAAGGCCTCAGAGTTTCTACATTTCTCTTTTTTGTCTTCACTTCAGTCTTTTATAGGCTAGTAACACTTGCGACCCACACCTGTAGCGTGTAAATACAAAGAGTTGTATAAAGCAAGCCTCTCTGGGCTTTAGATAGTTTATAAATGTGGCCACCAAAGAACATATCAAATTATAACAAATTCACCCTAAAGCCAATACTGCTTTGTCTTTTCCCTTTTCTTTTTTTTTTTTTTCAAATCATACATACATTCATCATTGTAATGCAGACCACGTATTGCTTTTTCATTGTCATTTTGTTTCCGATCACCAATCAGCTGGATGGCGTAGGGAGACGTGAAACAAGAGCCCCTCTGCAGCTTCTGCAGTCCAGCTTGGTGTCCATGGAGCATGGAGTATGGTGTCCACTCAAGCTTCAGAGAACCCAACAATATCCGCTTATTGGGCAACTACCAGCGATACCAGGGCTTTTCTGCTACTGGCAGTCACAGCGAATGACTAACACCCAAAATACTGCTAGATAATCCACAACGGAATCTAAGTTACACTCCACAAGAATCATAGATCTCCTAATAAAGACATTGTTTGGCTCAACAATTACAATGCGCTTGACGTAGTGGATGACGACTGCTATACCTCACTCTAAAAAGAATAGAAAAAGGTGGCCTCCCTTGTTATTAACTCTTTTTTTCTTTTTGAACACCTGTTTCTAAAAGCCAGCAAACCCCCTAGCGTTTAAAACACAAGTATGTGGACAGAAAAAAAAAATCTCAACGGTCTTTTTTTCTAACAGACCAAAGGTCAGGTCTCACGGTCGCTCTCTCCCACAGAGTAGAGCTCCCCAAGTCTTCTGAAGCGTGGCCCCCACTCTCTGAGATAGTCATAATTCTGGTCCGAGTCCGATGAAGCCGTCTCCAGTGAGCTGAGAGAGCCGGCAATGGATCCCCGGCCCTCGTATCCATAGATCTGGATGGAGTCATAGGGCGGCGCTGTTGGATCATTGTCTGCCTCATGGAGCCGTACGTTGATAAATTCGTCCACGTCCACCCCATTTGGGCCTGAGTGCTGGCCCGCCCGCGGCATAAACTGCAGGTCAGGCTTGATGTCCTTGCGTGGTAGGTAACCATTGATGCCATCCGGGTTCTGCAGCGTGGCAATATCAAATGCTTCTGTGTCCTCCTCGCCACCTCCCTCATCATCATAGCGGATAATATTCTCCCTCACATCTTCGTCATCCTTGATAATAAGAGGCTCATTCTTGTGTCTCCTCAGGGTCACAAATAGTACTACTATTACTGTCAGAAAGAAAGATGGAAAGAAAGGAAAAAAAGAAAGAAATCTAGGTCAAGCTTTGGCAAGTGGATTTTCAGTAAATCCTGGAGGTGAGATTATGCAAGTTTTCATCTACGTCTATTCATATACACTATTCACGGTAATGATGTGACAATACAAAAAAAGAAACACCTCACCTAACAGGAGGATAATACAGGCCAGGATGGCAATGAGAGCCCCCATACTAAGGCCAATAGGTAAGACATAGGCCTCCACGTTGCAGGACTGGACGATGCCATCGTTGCTGCACCCACACACTCTGATGGTCAAGGTGTTGGTGCTGCTCATCGGTGGGTTTCCGTTGTCCGTCACGATGATTGGCAGGAAGTACATCTCCTGTTTCTGTCGTCGGAAGGTATCGTGCTTGGCTAGAACACTGATTGAATTGTCTGTCAGAGAGAGGTAAAGACAGAGATGATTTTTTGCAAGTGTGTGTGAAAAACCCATTATTATTCATGGTGGTGACAGACTGAAGTTCTGTTATTAAATTGTGTGAAGATCAGTGCAGCATAAGGGTAAACTAATTTCACATCAATCGTCACCAGACTTTTTAGCATTCTCACATTCCAGTGCTGTAGATGGATTTCAGGAACCTTCCCCTCTTTCTTGACAGTCCAATTTGGGAATTCTGAAGGAAGGTGAGCCTGAGTTTTTGGTCCCTCTTTGAAAGCTGAGGAAATGAGAGGACCACGGCAGGCGACACTGGCTAAGAAGATGGCACATGTCGACCCAGAAAGGTGCCAGCTGCTCTTTGATGACACTTCTGTGAAGCTGTCTGCTCATTAGCTAGCACTCCTTACCCTGCTCACATTATCAAACACTTGCATTCCCATAAGAATCTACTCCTGCTGTTCTTATGGAAAACGTACAAGATTGCTGAGAGTGTAACCTTTGCCTCGCTACTTGAAGGTGCACTGAAGAGGGAGGAAAAATAGGTCTGGTGATATACGCTAAAAAGAGATGGGCCATGTTGAAACAACCACGTTGACGGAGCGAACTTAATCAAAAGATGGAATGCTTCATGATAGAATTATATGCTTTGCACAATCTGTAATTGATGTGAACATATGCTCAGATTTATTTTCTTACGAGTGCTGCCACAAAGCAGTACGCTCTGCTTTGTGAGCACCAACATGTCCTATTTCATTTGGATCATTCAGCAGTGCATAGTGAGTATGCAAGTATCTACTATACTGCAATATACCAGTAGGGCATGTCCTCGTAAACAGGTCATTTGCATTTTCTTGCAACTATTGATGGTAAAAATAGAATTAAACATTTCCTTCCCCTCAAACACACTGACCGCACTGCAGTTACAAGAATGCTGTTTTCATTATCCTTCATTTATTTTTTATTTTATTTTATTTATTGTTAAAATATTATATTTTAACAGTGTTTTATCTACCGACTGATGAAAACAATGTACATTGAAATATTTATTGTCACTATGACAAAAGCAAAGGCTTATTTAAATGAAAATTTTGATATAAATAACTTAATATGTGGGCAGCTACAAATGACAGTAGTGACAGCAGAAGTGACTCTAACAATATGAACACTTTGAAACTTCTCAAGTCTCTTAAGACTATGTGAGCAACTACACACCGTACCAAACCAGCAGAGCTTAAATGCTTTATAAGCTAACATGAAAGGATTGGAGGGAGCAGAGGAGGTGATGTTGGTATCCCCAAATTTGTCTAGAAAGAAAAATGCACTTTTCCACCACTCAGCATATTGTACGTTGGATTTTTTTTTAACACTATGCACTGATTTTACAGAAAACTTAGCATGTGCAGCGTTATTGTTGAAATGTAATGCGTCAGTGGTTCATGCATGCAAAATAACCACACACATTAAATCACTGATACCTTACCATAGTGGCATTATGGGGGGGGAAAACAACCACATGTCTCTCCATTCCATACATGTCTGTGTGTTTGTGTGTGTGTGTGTGTGTGTGTATATATATATGTATGTATGTGTGCATGTCTGATTGACAACATTTCACTGTGATGCAACACCAACACAATAAAAGCAAACTTGCACCAGTAAACAAGCTAGCAACAGAGTTCTGTTGGTAGTGGTATTAAATATTTAAGGACTACAATTAATATGTAAACTGACTGCTGTTGACATTTGCAGGTACGGTTTTAAACTGTTCAATGTACAGTTGACTTGTTAATTAGCCTGAAAAATTACGTGACCTGGTTCAGCAAACCAAGATACAAGACTCATTTTCATGCTTCAGCAAGGAGAAAGGACCCTAATGACAAAACTTCAGTAATTTGTTGAACGTCTGTGCTGGTCACTATCAACAACTTTGAACAGTGGAGGTTACTGTTTTATAGCAACAAGCTGAAAATACATTGATTCCATTAGCTACATAGATCATACACAGAGAAGGGTCAGTCAGTGAGCTGACTTCATCTTAATGCTTGCCATAGATAAAAATCCACAATAAGTTTGCTAAACTGTAAATGCAAAATCTCTTGGATGTAGTAAATTAAGAATAGGGTGTATGAGATTCCCAGTGTGCTCAACTTTACGTTCAGGAGAGGAACGTTATGACATTTCCTTTGTCAAACATTAACCACAGAGTCTGAAAATAGTTTCTGTCAGCACATCTCATTTTTGGCATCATATTGAGTGTGTTGTCTCAGTTACTGACAATGGGACACTGTGCTGCGTGCAGCCCCGCCTACTGAATACTGAGTTGTCAGGATGCTCAATATCTTGTATACAGCTGGTCAGAACTTTAGCCATTTCTCCATGGCGGGCAACCCCCTAACCCCTTCACTGTGAAATCCCTACAATTAGACTTATCATTGCAAACAAAAGCAACACACAGAGGCTCACAGGAGCCTGGTGCTCTTCACTGAAGTGTCTCCCACAGCTGCCGATTCAGATAGAAATAGTCATTGAAGTGCTGGGATATGGCACGATGGGCTTCTTTTCTCTGTTCAGAGTTAACAATATCATAGACAAGTGGCTGCTGTGGTGTGGTATGTAATATGTGGAGCTGAACCACAACATGTTTACTTTGGTTTCAGGCAAGTGAGAGGAAAAAAAGAAGGCTTTTTTTTTTTTTTTGACTGGCCTAACAGAGCTGTGCTGTTAGTGACAAAACACTTCTAGTGGGGGACTTTTATCTGTTTCATCATCTTAAGATACTATAAACCTCCTCTTAACAAAAGGGCAGAGTTCAGGAAGCGGCATGTTTTATACACTTTGAGGTTGATCCACAGTTAAGACTAAATAATTCGCAGTGAATATGTGCCTGGTAAACAGTCTCATGTTCTTGACTCTCAATTTCCTAACAAGATTTTGCATGTGACAGAAAAAAATAGGATTTATTTTTTCTCTCCTTTAACTATCGCTTGGTGCGTCAGAAGTATGATCATCTTTGCCAAGGCTATTTTTGGGTTGCCCATGAATACTACAATGGCATCTCATGTTCCTGCTAATGTATCTGTTTCATATATAAAAGATTTTTATTTTTGTCAAAAGATAGCTAGTCCACTTGATGACCTGATTTTCATGGCATCTTTCCTCCATCAGTGCGAGGTTGCAGTAAGTTAGCCTGCAGCCTTCACGTCGTAACAGAAGGCTAGTGCCATATGAAGAGTTTTTGCCCCAAGCTGAAAACATTACACAACATCATTGTGAACACAGTCTGTTCAGAGCCGGCAATGGAAGGGAGGCAGGAGAAGAGGAATGGAATAAAGACAAGAGAAAATGGCAAATAAACCAATCAGAGTATTTAGCAAATAAATATAGTACCATCTGCCACACTGCAACAGCTCCTAGGAAGTCACCCTACATTGAGCTGCAAGACTAGCAGGAGAAGCCATTTGGATGCCATTCATTTAGTTTCCCTCAAAACGCACTGGGGAGTAAAAAGAAGCTGGTGTCCAGACAATTTCACATCTGCTAATTGTGAGCTACACTGATCCACCAGATTTCATCTCCAGTATGGCTAACATGCTGCGGGTTAGAGATTAGTCTGGAAAGCCATTGGAAAAATTTAGAGAAACTTCAGTCATTCTGCCACAAAAAGAGTTATTTTCTAGTACTTTCTTTGTTTCTCACCTTGGTTGTTTTTGATGGTGAAATTGGGGTTGTTGAGCATCTCTGGGACCAGACGATAGTCAAAGTAGTGTCCCTGGATGGGGTCATCTTTGTCCACCGCGCTGACAGTCTGGATAACCTGTGTTGAAAAAAGACAGACAAGCAGATATACAGAGGAGGGCTCAAAGCCATTGGAGGAGGCAGCCTATTCATTACTCTGTTTTTGCCACCGCAGATTGCCTCAGTGCAACAGTAGTTGGATCACACCTGATGAAATATATGCCCTATTCATTCCTGGAGTTTGAGATTATTATCAATGAGGTCCTGTCTAGTCTGGCACACTTTCAGGCTCCTGGCTCTATCTGTTAATCTGTCATCATAGGTCTTATCATGCTGTATGTCTTTATGATTGATTCGAAATTAGAATGCAGGCCCTGCAGGACAGTTTCCCTTTTTTCAGCTTCTCTTTTTCTCCTCCTTTCAATAAATCTCCCAATTGTACATACGCAGGTCCCCTGAATGAGGTCGATTGATGAGAAGGAGAATGCTAAGTACTCGTCCAGAATTTTTGGCTGGGGGAGGCATTGTGCCATCTGGAGGAGGACATGAAAGACAGTCTTGAATTATGATCCACTCTGATCAATCCTGACTGCTCTCATTTCCCCTTTGCTCTGCACACGCTGAGTCGAGGGAGGACTGTTGCAGAGAAAAAGGACTGTACTCCCACCTCTGTAGTTTCCCAGCGAAATAAATAGGCTATAATTCACTGTGGCCAATCATTACAGGGGAGGAGAGTGAGAAAAAGAAAAGGACAGAGAGTAAGAAAGCGATAGTTCACTGCTTTGATGAATGAGTCACGTCTTTCCTTACCTGTCCAGGTTTTCCATTTTCACACAAAAAGGCCTCATATTCGGTGGCAAATTCAGGTGCATTGTCGTTAATGTCCATTACTCTAATGGCCACGATCGCCCTTGATATCTGACTATGATTTCCTATAGATAGATAGATAGATAGATAGATAGATAGATAGATAGATAGAAGAGAGACAATCAGCAAGAGCAAGAGGAAAACAAAAGTAGAGTTGAATAATTAAGAAGACACAAAAGTGACTGGAAAAAACAAAACAAGGTTACACATGAAATCCCAGGTAAATTCTGTGACCTAGTTTAATTTCCTTTATTTTCCATCTTTATTTCTCCCTTCATTTCCTGAGCTGATGGGAGGACAGATGATAAGCCACATCAATCTACATTTCAGCTGGTATCAATGATGCAAAACAGGATTCTAGGCAACAAAAAAAAGCCATTCAAAGTCCTTTTGAAAATTCCCTGTACACTGCAATGTTTAAAACATGAGGGTTAAAACATGCATATTAATGAGCCATTGGCAGCTGAAGTCTAAAAAGATAATAAAAGGCAGTTTAATTAGATTAGATTTTGATTGGAATTATTCATCTCTGGTAATTGACAGTTCCTTTCGAGAGTCCCTGTGAATGGGCGTATTTATTATTATTATTTTTATATTTATTTATCAGTGGTGTAAATGGCAACTTTTAAGGCAATTATCTATTAATGTAGCCGACGGCTGGGTCAGTTTGGCCAAAGACACTGGTGTGTGTGAGTTATTTTGTTATTTCATTGCACTGATTTGTTGTATTTATTTTTTTCAATGAGATAATGTGCTTAATATTTTTGGACATAAAACTAATATTTCCTGAGTTGTGGGAGTAGTGATTAAAATTTTCCAAGAGCCCACGTTATGCACATTTACAGGCTTATCATTACCTTTTTAGGCTCCACTAAAACATGTTTACATGCTTATATGTTTGAAATACACTTTTTTTGCTTTCATTCTGTACACTGCTGCAGTGCCTCTAAAACACTCTATTGTCTCTTTAAGATCGCACTGGGAAAAGCCCAGTCTGCTCTGGTTGGTCAGCTGAAAACAGGAGACCAATGCATACATATTGTACGCAGAGATAGATGTTGCCTTTGGAGAACATTCTCTGGTGAGGAAATGGCCAACCGGAAGCTGCTTATTCTTTGTTTGAAGGCCAAACTAGTCGTTAGGCAGAAGATATGTATCATGGACATAATTAAGTAACAAAAGAAAAAGCTGGACTTCAAATAAGCCATCTTGCACGAATAACAAGCTGTGTTTTCTGTGATGGGGTAAACCTTTGGGTTTTGTAAGTTTGCAGATCTTTAATATGCCAAAAGAACAGCTACTGTATATACCATACTAAATGGAATGGAGAAACCCAAAAAGCAGAACATGGGCTCTTTTATTTTCCTAGATTCTCCTGAGTGACCTACTTCAGAGACATTGTTATGTTTATCTGTGATATACTAAATGTTGTGTAACAGGGAACTCATCAATTAAATATGGAAGGAGTAACAGTAAAAACATACACAAATACACATTTACTTGTATGAAATAGATTATTCTACACATTTGTGGGTTTGTTTTTTTTGTGCATTTATTTTAATTTCTTTTCAATTACACCAAAACATGAAGTCGTGGACAGGTGCTCCACAAAATCAAGGCCTCCAGCCCTCCAAGACACGGGTTGAAAAAGAGATAAGCAGTGAGGTGAGTGGAAATTGACAGTCTGATAGACAGTGATAGATGGATTAGAGCAGGGGGAGGGGGAGACGCAGCCCCTCCCCACACAAGTGATTTTCTCTCAGCAGTCGAAAGGGAATAGAATCTGATTAGTCAGATGTCAACTGGTGCGAGGCAGCAGAACGAGCCTCCGTTTGGGTGGCAAATGGCATCGGGATAGAACTGGGAACACATCTATTCCTTTTCACGCCAGAGAAGACACTGGCTTCCCCCTCCCATCCATGAAGAATAGCAAAACTGCCATATTTATTTTGGCAAATTCCTATTAGGTGTTCTCAGTGATGCCACTATCTCAAGCTACAGTTACTTTGCCAAGAGGCATGAAAACACGCTTTCAATGTATGGGTGAACGACATGACAAGGCAAACAGCTTATCAAATGAGACACATTCAGCCCCTCCGACGGGCTGCTACGATGGTATGATTTGTATGTGCTGCGTGGCCAAAACATTATGACAGTGTTTGAATTTTCATTTATTCTGACAATTAATGTGTGTTTCCTTTGATTAAGGAAAGAAAAGAACAGACAGAGGATGAACAGAGAGAGAAGGATGGAGAGATAGCACGGAAGCAGACACAAAAAGTTACAAGCTGTGTAAACTTCTATTCCAATAGCTTAAAGGGGTACATTAAGCTTTATCACAACATACAGCCCCCCTGAAACAATCTGTATGCAAATAAAGCCTTACATATGGTTGGAGCTGTTTGTAGCTCTGCCGGCAAGATTTTCTACGTAGTCAGTGAGTTTTGCGGTTCGCAGATGTTCTTTAATCTGTAATGGATGCTGGCGTTGGAGCAATCCACTCTGGAGCATGTCTTTAAAACTGTTTATTTGATACGTCTTAATGTTCTTGCACTTCCACAAATTGACTACTGAGCTGTTTAATTCAATCAAAACTCAGCAAATTAACGTATTTAATGCCTCTGTGGATTCAAATGCTAATTGTTTGTGCCATACTCTCGGAGCGATTAAAAGTGCTCGTCTACAAAGTGCCATACAGTTGAACAGCGGATTGCGTGTAGGAGGTCAGTGATTCCTTTGACTCAGACAGTCCATGAAGTCACTCAGTAGAGGAAGGTATTGTATGTGCGCTCCCGCAGTTTTCCGTTTTTGAAACTTGCCTGCCAATGAATGTCTCATAATATGTTGCCTTTGAAAATGGGGCATAACAATTCATGAGCCGCAACGTGCACAGCAGGGGAGAGCAGAATGAGCAAAGTTTACTTACGGACTTCTGTCGCAGTTACTGTGATGTTGTGCCACATGTCTGTCTCCCGGTCCAGCGGTTTGGCCAGCGTGATCTTCCCGTCGTCTACATTGATGTTGAACTGCCTCTCCAGGTCTGTGTGCCGATCGATGAAGTACCTGCAAAGATAAACAATCATCAGGAATTTGAGCTGAAACAGCGACAGCACCACTCAAGCATCTATTTTGCAATCCTTTGGGTATTGTGGCGGTGAACGCGATCTTATTCATCAAGAGAAACCTGTAGATCAATGCACATTAAAAACAGTAGGAAATCAATAATTATCATCTGAGGAATAATTACAGCCTTCACACAAGCAGCAGGGGGCATTAAAGCCTAATCCGAGAAGCCTTCCCCCCAATCAGTGCGACGCCTCCCTCCTGCAAAAAAGACCATTAGTACACGTAATGTCAGGGTAAGAGATGAGGTGTTAACCCTGTTTGGGATCTGTCAACACTCAATGGCTCCCACAGGCTTTGCATTAATAAGTTAGGACGGCATTGTGTCACACACAACCACGAACAGCGGGGGGGGGGTAATGGATGTAATAGAGATGAACTAATGACCCTCTTGTTTAGAGTGACCTTGTCTGATTTTAAAAAATGATTTTGTTTTCTCTTCAAGCCACTAGCCGCTTTTAGACACCCATGCATAAATAAAACCGCACACTTTAAAATGTATCCTTCAGAGAATACATTTGTCAAACTGTTCTTTTCGGGATTCTGTTCCTCTGTGACCCTGCTACTGACACACTGACTTTTTGAGACTGGTACAGTCTTAAAAATACAGTGGCAACACATAAAACTCAAAAAAAAAACTCAAGCAGTGGGTATGAAATTGGAGTGAACATAAAAGAGAATTCTCCGATGCCACTTGAAGCTGTGAAATCACTCTTTCATGTTGCAGCGCGCATAGTGCCAATTCTTGGGACAAGCCCACACAAAACTGACTAAAAAAGAATCTGTCATTATGGGTCATCTTTGGTTTCACATGTTTTATTTGCCATTATGTGTGACTGTCATAAACATCCTACTCACCCAAAACACAAGGCCGCAGTGATTCACGTGAGCTAATTACACAGTGTACTGCATAAGCGTTTCCATACCTTCAGGACAAACTGTCTCTGTTCCTTTCTCTCTGTCTCACGCTCACATCCTCCCTCACAATCTCTTTCCCCTCCAACACTGAGAACCTTTTCTTTTTTTTTGTTGGGTCTCAAGCTCTTCCTAATCCAATCCCCCTATCCAATTCTTTGCAAACCCTCTTCCCCGTGCAGACATCCCTCGGCCACCAGGCGCCCCGCTCACCCTGTCTCCTTTTTTTCCTCACCCCGGGTCTCATACCATCTCACACTGGAACTGCTCTTCCCTATCAGCGCAAACCTGTTGGCAGGAACCCTGCGGTATTTATATGAGAGAATAAAGGGAGAGGGAGAAAGGAAAAGACACAGAGGAAAGAGAAACAGAGAAAGAGCAGCAGGAAATGCCAAAGACAAAGTCACAACAACTATTTATGTGAAGGAGGGTGCTGCTTATACAAGAATGGTTGGAAATGAAATAAATAAACCACTGGCCCAGATTCCAATTGTTGGGGAGATGTACCGAGCCGTGACATTTCCATTTTTGAGATGAAATGGTGTAAAATCCTCTAGACGCCGGGCTGGGAGAGGTCCATAAGGACCCCCCCCCCCCCCCCCCCCCCCCCCCCCCCCCCCCCCCCCCCACCCCCCCCCCCCCCCCCCCCCCCCCCCCCCCCCCCCCCACCACCACCACCACCACCACCACTACTACCACCCCTCCTTCTCCTTCTCTCTTGCCCTGCAGACGCAGAGCACTTTCAAGACAGGCAGACAGCAGCAAACCACCTGGGAGCAGCCTCTCTCCTGCAGACTGAGTGGATCCCAGTCAAACTCTGACAGCCTCACGTGGAAGCGAGGAGACAGACCCTGAAATGTTCTGCCACCTGTCACTCAAACTGACAACGTGATGTGAAAAGAATTAAAAGCAAATAAAAAATGATATCCAGTGTTATACGTGCACAGCTTCCCTAAGTGTGATGTGAGAATGGGTGCAAATGTGCTCGCGTCCGTGTGTGTTTATATCAGCTTGTCTCTGCTTTGCTTTATCTTTAACAAGCCTTTAAACGGCATTGGACTGACCTCAGTCTAACAGTAAAACATCACGTAGAGATAGTTTGTGCCAAATATTCTACAGCAGAGTAGCGCTCTTACAACTGACGCAGCAGACATCCAGAAATATTCAGCTCCTCAATAAAAAACAAACACAACACTCTAATCAAACGGCATCAGTGGGACAGACGCTGTTCTGTGTATAAAGAAGGTAACTATATGCTGTAATCAGTGAGGTTGTCATTCTTATTTCTGTTCATTTATGGATCATTGCACTGATGTGTGCTGCATTTCTCAAACACCGCCTGTCTGTCAAACAGTATGGCCAGGATATGTTCCCTGCTGAGTTTCTGTGGGTGGTAATCTTTTGTCTCTTTAGCCATGGAGGCTATCATTGCTCATACTATCTACTCTTTTTTCCCGTCCCCATCACATAATCTTCTGCAGTTCCAAATGTACACTAACAAGACTTAATTATAGAAAGCATCAGTAATTTTAAAATGAAGAGTTGAACAGAAATCTCTAACTGAAGTTCAGTCATCTGGAAACATAATGAATCCAACCTGACTGTGGACACAACAGATGCACCAATGGTCATTGTGGTGACCCACAATATCTCCCACCATTTAACCTTTCGCTCTGATCATGTTACTGTATGGGCTCTGGATCACAACAGGACAATGAAAACTGAGAATGAATTGTTCTGACGGCAAAACTTAGAAAATCTGTGTTACATGAATATGTCAATAAAAAACACTGAGCTTTGGACTTTTCTGAAACTAGGCATCTTTAGCATCACAAAGAATCACAGTTTTCTGTGGGGAAACATTATAAGGTACATAAAACAAAAACTGAATGGCCGCTTTACTGCTTTTATGCACAGTGTATAATGTTTCCTGTAGCTCTGCAGGCTGCTTTCTAAAGTCTTATAAATTAACCCTGATGACATCATCAGGTTTATCGGATGTAATGAACTGCCCTGTGGCCACAAATGACAATTGCATGATAATAATAAGTAGCACATAGTTATTAAGTTATTGAGTTATTAAAGCCAAGAAAGTGACTCAGTGATGCCACTTAGACAGCAATTTGTGTCTTAAATTGCGCCGATATTAGCTGACATTAGCCACCATAAACTGTGAGACTACGCAAGACTGTATCAGCAGCATATTAAACTGATTAAAGGAGCGCTTTATAGCTGGTGAATTCAACATTTCATTTTAAAGAGGAAAAATGTATTTGGTCATTTCGAAGTCGAAGTTTAATTTGGGAAATTTAGAGAGACATTTTATAAGATAGAATAATAATATTAAACTCATTAGCGCCACCTAGTGGTCAGACTATGTAACGACAGCTCTGCCTCTCAGTCTTCTGCTGGTATTCCCTGGCATGCGCTCGCACACATGTACACAACACAGTATCGGCCATACTTGTGCGTTCATGCTTTCACCACACCTCTGTGTGCATGCTGTGTTTTTACCTCTGTAGACTTTGCATGTGTGTAAATGTGTGTAAATGTGTGCATGTGAGCGACTGAGTGCCTGTACAAGTTGGAGGAAGAAGAGGTGAAAAGATCAAGAACATTTTTTTTTTTTCTGCAGAGAACAAAATGCCTCTGACATTCCTGGGTGTCATGAGGTCAGTAATTCCACCGGGAGGATCACAGATGTAGAACTAATTTTCTGTCCCCCCGAATACTGACCATTTGTGTTTGAACACTGCATTTTATTCAGGTTGGTTCTCAGGACATTTAATTTATTTTGTGTTTTTTTACCAGGAAGGTCATTTTTCTCAAGAGTACCAACTTATCTAAACCATAAATAAGAAAACATCAAAAACAAAGAAACTGTCCATGTGGAATAAAGGATCGTGGCCTAAATTACATTAAATTTCCATTTGTTTCAAAACCCTCTCCCTTACTTGACTGCTTGTATTACCATATGCAGCATGTCAGCTGTCAGCGGTGCCATAACAACATAGCAAAGACTGCAGAACAAAACAAGAGTCACAGAATTCCATTACGCTTCAGCAATTACATTCAAAAATAAAAGCTACAAAAGAAGAACAAACAAAGAAGGCAAAGATGGAAATGAAACTTGTTCAAAATCCAAAGCAGATTTTGGCAATGCCTGTCACAGTATCAATATTTTGAAATAAAATACACTCTGCTGTTCTATGAAATCCAGCAGTTCGTGTCAGACAACCTTAGTGACTGCCAGATGTCACATTGCTTTTTATTTGTGATCAGTCAGGTAGAAAACGACAGAGCACCAGCTCCAGAGAGAAGCAATACTGAGGGAGTATTTCATGGAGTGCACCTGAAATGTTATTGGTTGGGTGCATTAAGTACAGCTAAGGGGTTGTTTGTCTCCTGAGTGCAGAGGACATGGCAGTCCACTAGAGCACTAGCCCCAAGTGGTTTAGACTTAGACTGGTTGGGTCTGGTCTGACGGGGGGGGGGGTTTACGGCGGAGAGCGATCCTAATCAGAGGGTTTGACTCGAGAGCTCGTTCAGATGGTGGCAGGAGTGCATCCACACTAATGCTGCTTTTACTGCAGCCACTCCACAAACGTAGATCCAGCTTGAGTGACGACAGTCTACTTTGGAGAACATGTCCTCTTGAACATTTTGAACCAGTAGGAAAATAAAAGACCACAAGGTAGAAAGAAAGAAACAGAACCAAGTGAGGAGGACAGTGTGGGTTTTACAGCCAAATGTTTTTTTTTTTTTGATACTGTGCCAGCCCTCTCCACTTTTTTATCTATCATGTTTTGTTTTCAATTACCTGAAAAAGACAATAGTTTATTGTTCAGTTCGTTGATACAACAATCAGCAGGCTTTTTTACAATTAACTAATCACTTCAGTCTTCAAAGCCTTGCTTTTCCCATGTGGGATTTACTGCTTTTGCTCTGTTACAGCACCGTGAACTAACTGTTTTGGGTTCTGGACTGTTGGCTGAACAAAGTCAAATGTTTGAGGATGACACCGTGGAACTTTTTTTTTTTTTTTTCACCCTTTCATGATGTTTTACACCAAATGATTACTCAATAATGAAAATAACAAGACAGTGTAAATATTTGGCTTGATGTCTCGTGAGGCTTTTGTCCAAATTTTCCGTTATTTAGAACATACTTGTGCTCTTGTAAGAGGCATTACTGAGGCTACAGCCTTCTGTCAGCCAGTACATTTGGAAGGATTAAAATCTCCCAGACGGTAATCATTTCATCAGCGCAAAGCTCAGAGATACAGACTAATACAAACCCTTGCTGGAAGTAAAATCAAATGGTCTTTGGTGAGGGTGATGCATCATATGAAACCTACAATGACAATAGTTTGTTTCATCTCATCTCCTCACAAGGGAAACTCTCGACATGTGAGATAGATCATCTTGAAGATTGAAAGGAGGAAGGGGGTAAAAATGTTTAATTGGACTTCAAAGAAAATCACATGTTGAGATAAATCAATTCATTATGACAAAAAACCTGAAAGTAAATTCCTGCTAGCGTGTGCATGTACCTGTATTCTTTCCATGATGATCAGTGGCTTCACAGCTGGCAAAGGATTAATAGAGCATTCTGTTAGCCGCTTGTTATTTTTTTGCTTTCTCTCTGAAAATAAAAATTGAAAGTCTGAGAATGAGCTTTATTTAAAAATCTAACAGCTCTCAAGAACATTTTGAAAGGCCCTATTCTGCTTCTGTGACGGCAGGAGAATTTTTATTTTTTTTAGCCTGACAGTCACACAAAGCCCTTGAGAAATAATCCATTTTGAACATAACATCATGTCTGCAAAATTATAAAATTAGTGATTAAAAGTCTAATGAAGACTATGTGTTTAATAAGTTTGAATAAAAAAGAAAGAGCGAGCAAAATAAATTGCAGAAAGGCAAAGGGCCTGGTACATAAAGATGGCAGCCGATGACTCAATTCACACTGTATCATGCTCAAAACACATAACAAGTGCCAAGACAGGATGTTGATATCTGGACAGTTTCACAGCAGCAAATGGGCAAAGAGATCATGTCAGCAGGGTGCTGCCATCTGCAGCCACACTCATTCATTATTTAGTCACTTTTTCTTTCAATAATGATCGACTGAAGGAAGCAAATACTGAGAGTGTGTGAACAGAACCAACTATTAATACTGCACCTAATTCAGAATAAGATGCAATAATGAGATGGATTAATTTCATGATGAAGTGGACTTTTATGCACTTCAGATGGAAGAAGAAAATTACTAATTTTTGAACTGATTACTTGTCTCTCTAACACACATATAAAGCACAGACCTGCATCAGCAAATACACGAGCACCATGGCATGAAATAAAGACGGAGGCAAAAGATGCCATTATACACCAAAAATATTTCTGCTTTTACTGGTGGACGGACATCAGGCAACCTCAAGGCTCAGTTCCTCCTGGCAATCTCATCACTAAACATGAGGATGCCACCAGAAAAAAAAAAAAGAAAAGAAAGAAGTAGAATGAACCGGCCTTGGTCTATAGCCTCAGCCAATCTATGAAACCCACAGTCTGCTCTCTGCTCGCTGTGCAATTACACACAACCTGTTGAGTGTTGTCCCGGGAATGCGGTCAGCAAGTCACTGGAGAATTAATGAAATGCCAAGATGGAGGGAGAGAAATTGCCTGTATAACCTATCCTCAAGGTGCCCTTCTGGTATTTCCAAGAATAAGTCACATAAGAGGAGAGTATAGCAGGGCTGGTCATAGAGTGAAAGAGAAAGTTATACTGCCTTCAATTCATAATCTACCTTTTTTTGTACGTCTGTGGAAATGAGAACAATCATTGAGTCATTTCCTCACTGCCAAAGACGCTACCACAGTCTCCAAAGGTCAGAAACATGAAGAGATTTAATTGCATGCCTCAGTGTCAACCATTTTATTAAAACAAGTCATTATAGCCTGAAAAGACTCATTTCTTAACCTATTCTCTCCATCACTTCTTGAAGTTAAGCTACCTACAGAGCTTTTTCTTTTGAAAAAGCTTGCTCTGGTCATTCAATAGCAAATGGTCAAGCAGTAAAGGCTGAGGTCCTGTCAATAGCTCACTCTTGTCAACATCTCTGTGCAGAACACCAGACAGTTTGATGTGTGAAGCCTCCAAGGCTCCCTCCAAAGGTTAAACCCCCTCTTCTCCAAACTAAGAACTCTGTTTCTCCCAAAGTGGTAAGACCGTCCGGTCGCTCTGAGCAGATAACAAGCAAAGACTGGTATTACCGAGTAAAATAATAGAAGCCCTTTTTAGAGAGGGCACAAGATAAGACATCATGGCGCAACTTCTCAGAAGTAGCAATGTGTCAAGCATTTACGTTGGGTGCTGTAAGGCCGTGGATGATCACCGCCACCGTTTATATGCACAGAATCATGTGCATATCATTCTGTATGTCAGGTGAATTCTCTTGTCAGGGGTCTACGTATATTTTATGGTTTCTAGTGTCTATGAAGATAGGCAGCTAGCGTGTTGTATGGTGTACTCACACTAGAATGGTGTTACAGTACCCAGCCTTCAAAGTGATGTCATACCCCATTTTATCAGAACCACTACTTACAGAATGACAGTGTTTTAAAATGGGTTGCCTCATTGTGCAACAGTGTGTGTNAATGACAGTGTTTTAAAATGGGTTGCCTCATTGTGCAACAGTGTGTGTGTGTGTGTGTGTGTGTGTGTGTGTGTGTGTCTGAGTGTGTGTGTGTGTCTGTGTCTGTGTCTGTGTGTCTGTGTGTGCAGCACTCCACTTCCATCCACTACAGGCCTGGTAGGCAAGCCAACGAGAAGCTTGGCTAGAAGCACAACTGCTCTTACAGACCATCAACAGAGTGTTGACAAAGCAGATGCACAAACTAAATTAAGGCATTATTTAGCTTATGACATAGCTGACAGTCAGATTGAGGGAGCCAACATGTCCAACTTCACAAAGCATCCTACAGACAGACATGCTGTCTCAGAAGTGACAAGGGAGCGAATATGATAGATAGCATAATTACATCATGCCCATGCTCTCAAATATAAGTCAGACAAGTGTGATGTCCTTTGTGTCTAGCGACTTTTTCACCATCAGACTTTGACAAGGCAGTTAATGGTAATCATACAATTTCATTTGACTTATCGTTTTAGAAAACTTTCCAATGTGGAAAGTGTCTGTACACACTGACACAGTATTCACACCAGTAATGTTAACTAACATCAACTGGCAGATTTAAAAAAAAAAAAAAAAAAAACATTCACAAATGTAACAACAGCAGTTATCCTATAAATAGTCCAGTTAATTCCTACAAAAAGAATGAAAAGGGGTGATTAAAACGATTTATCTTCAGTGCCAGGGTTTAACCTTTCATAAGGAGCAGTGTGCCTCATGAAGCTGGAAAGATGGGAATGTGTTCAGAGCTGGTTTTAATGAGGAGTTCCTGCAGTTCTGGTTGAATGTTAAAATGTACACTAGTCAGTCACAACAGTAAAAAAAAAAAAAAAACAGCGAGAGAGGGCTTTAGTCAGATAAATGAGTATATCGATTGTTTAGATGCTTCTTTGAATCTCCCTCCAAAAACCTTTCCTGCAAAGATATTGTTGGAATCTAGCTCTGAGTTTCCTTTGTGTAATGAAAGCCTCGAGGTGTCTATGCTGTCCTCCTGCCATCGACCTCCAGCAGGGTCCGCCTCAGTGCTGCTCAGCGCCAGGCGTAAGCACGCCAACTAACTGCTGCTATCCAAGGACACACAAGTAGTAACTTGCTATTTACAACTTAAAATTAGCTTCCCTTTGTCAGTGCAATTCTGAATTCAACAATGACTATGATCATCACTTTTCAGGTGACAGCCACTGTTATTATTTGATATTTTTTATCCATCAAATATTTTCTCCAGCAAGTTCCAACTCTCTAGTCATTCACTCCTTCACCACATTTTCCAGTGTGTGTGTAATTAGGTCTTTCTTGCGTCATGGTTCTTTTATTGTTTGTTTTAAAAGCAACAGCAGATCTTTCCTATATCCAAAGCTGTTGCCTGTGTTTCCTGATAGTGGAGCCAACATTATTGAGTGCATCTCACCTGACGAGGCTCCCAGTTGAGTCTGGGTCCCTGGCAGTGACTGTCCCTATGACCGTGTTGATGGGGGCACTCTCGTTCACTTCCAGTAAGTACATGGGTTTTGAGAAAACAGGAGGCTCATCAGAGTCTTCCACCACAATCTTTACAGTGGCTGTATCCTTGAAGGGCACGCCGCTGTTGGGCTCCGAGCGGATGTTGGTAGCTTCAACTTTCAGTGTGTAGGCTCTCTTGCTCTCATAGTCCAAAGGCTGTAAGAGAGTACAAACAGAAGTGGTCAAACCTACTGCACTGTAACTCAGAAGTGTATATCTATGATGTAATGTAGTGCACAATCCAGTAGTACAAAGTAAAGTACATTAACTCATTTACTGTATTCAATACAAGTTGGATATTGTTGTATTTTATTTGAGTAGTTTTATGTAAGTTTGTGTAGTTTTATGCTACTTTATAAATGATACACCTGTGCTCACCTGCATTAATGACAGTGTCACCATTCTGATCAAGAGAACTTCCAAACTGAACATGCAATCACCTTACAAAAATGTGCTGCATTGTTTTATATTAAAGGGGCACCGCATATATTCAGGTCACTTGTCATGAGAAGTATTACTCAGGCTGTGAAAAGTGTGAATTATGTATTCTGGCTCTGGAGAGAGTCTGAAAATAACCTTGATCATGTCATCAGAGTTACCTCTGTTTGGTACAAAGTCACAAAAACCAGCATTAGAAGCTGGCAGTTTGAAACATACGGGTGTTTACAACAGGAGCAGGGTGGAATAAAAGATACCATTGAGTTTCATTATGGGGAATATAGGAGTGAGGGTTTTTGGAGCTTAGCTCTTGTGACGTAAATTAGGCAGCTTCTTAATAACTGAGTACTCCTTTAAACCACCCAGCCACGTATAAAGCAATTAATGTTGCCACCAACTCAACCAGCCACAGCAATATTGTCTAAAAAAGGGGAACTTGCATAATGGGAACTTTTTTTTTTTGATAATTACATATGTGTTGCCTAAAATGTTCCTGTCCTTTCATTTAAAAGAGTATGTTTGTACTTTTTCACCAATGCTAAAATATGATTTTTTGGTAATCCCCGATGATTACTGCTGTACTTAGACTCATATGCTTCTTTACAAAGATGCTACACTGAGATAATAATATTTACAGGAATTAACTACAATTCCAGTTTAAAATGTTCTTTTGAAAGATTAGAACATTCCTACCTTATGCGCATTCCCGTGGATGTACTGTTAAAGACACTGTGGCAGACAGCAGTGCAGCTGCTACTATCATTAGATGAAAAATTTGAGAGATACCATAATTACATACAAAGTACATGTGCGCAGACTTTATTTTGAAGGGTTAGGGACTCTAAGTGGTTGTGATAATGTCTCTGGTGTCGTATATTACAGCAAATATAATTCATTTCATCATAATTTTGATTTAAATCAATCAGTCAATATAATTGCAATTTTCAGAGACAAAACCTGAAAATATTTTCCAACCTTTATCAGCATGAAAACGCACAAATCTCCCTGGTAATGCTTTCAGTGACAGCAGACCATTAGGACATTCAAACTGCGATCACACCCAGTTCACATAAAATAAATGACACAGGTGCTTTTTTTCAAGGCTATCAAAAACAAAACAATAATCTTCCAAAGAGAAATGAAAATATTTTGCACAGCACATGTCATTGTGTGACTGACATATCTGTTTAATCCGTCTCCTCAATTGATATGCAGTATCTCCTTTCCAAATGGCTCATCCTTAATATTTAAGAAGGAGGAGAGTCACAATTTACTTTCTTGGTATCTCTGAGGACACCCCAGACTGTCACAATTTCATTCTGAATCACCTCTGGTTGCTCTCATACTACTAGAATAATGGGATCAAGTCACTTCCACGCTCCATAACCAGGATTTATAGGGAAATCAAAACTGGGCCTTGCCGCTTGAGGGGACAGGAGCTGGCTTGGGGGAGAGAGGAGGTCTAGGAGGAGGGAGACGAACAAAACGAGAAATGTATTCAGTTAGAGCAAAAGGGAACAGGCAAGAGGAATAGTCCCTGAGGTCAGGCAGGGCTAGTGCACAGAGTTGTGGGGGCAGAGGGGCAGGTGGGTGGAGGGCTGTCTGGGCTCCAGCTGTGAGACGGCAGCAGCAGCCAGGGAACATGGAGGGCCCTGATGTCCACAGTCCTACACCCCTGGCATCAGGGCACCAGTAGACAGACCGAAGCCCCTGAAGCCTCTCCAAGCCCCACTCCTCCATGGTCAGAGAAGCTCTTTGGAACACTCTCATTATTAACCTCCCCTTCTTCTCCTCCTCACTTGACACCCACCCTCTTCCTCAATTCCTTCCTTTTCTCTCTCTCCGATGCCACCGTCTGTGAGTGTGGCTGGACCGTGAGCCAGTGGATTACACTTTAATTCAGAGCTAGCAGAGAATGAGGGCTGTGTGAGGTGTGGCTGGATACTCAAAATAATTATGCTGAAATGGAGAGGTGGGAAAGGCCCAGGTTTCAAAATGAATGATAATTTAAAAGTCAATTATGAGTTCAAACACTGGTTTTCCAGCAGAGGTGAAGCTGTTATGTTTGTATTATTAAACTGGTGTCGCCAGTTCACACATCTGAATATTATTTTAGGCATTCCATTGTTTTACTGATATGAACCAAAACTGAGCTCGGACACTGGGAACTGAACAAGGTTCAAAAAACATTCTCTCAATATGTAATTACTATCATCTGAGCATATATGAGAGAGACCGGCAAATTAGAGGCACACATATTATTTATCTATTTCATTATCTATGTATCTACCATTGAGATACGATCATTAAACTGTGACACAAAATGCTTTGGCAAGTAGTGTCCAGTACATCCAACGGTGTGTCGTGGTCACCCGATCAATGTGAGTCCAACAGTCTTATTGTAGCTCAGTTTTCTTCACCAACTAATGAGAAAAATGAATGTCTCTAAACTGCTAAAGTGATGCATGTAGGCCTTTAACCCAAACAGTGAGCTAAAAGAGGCTGAAATGCTCTATAGCTGAAGGTAGACTCAGAGTGGTGCTCCATGTACCTGGTTTAGCATTCAAGCAGCATTGTTCCAATTAGAATAATTTGATCAGTGAGTACACAAGCATTTTTGTGAGCTTCTTCTCACTTAGAAGTATAGCAACGCATCCACATTAAAGTCATTCAGTAAAATTGGCTCACATTGCCTTGCTGCTCTCTTATCCAAATATTTCAGTATTATTCCCAGACGACAGCATGTAGAAACAACTCATTACATTTGTTTCTGGTGTCCTAACAGAGAGTGGAAAGAGGGGGGCTTTCACTGTTGCAGGCATATTTAATTACACAAAATCCACTTTAAGGAAAACACAGTGGTAAACAGCTTCTTTAATTACCCTGGTTAAGTTTAATCAAAATTATTTTCAGTATCATTTACAAAGTCAAATAAGGCATCAGTGAAAGCTCTTTTAGGGCTGTATATTATCCTAACAGTGGAATCAGAATGCAAGTCATATTTAATAAATTCAGTAAACGGACACAGTGCTTAGACTGAATAATCCAGGGAGAGACACTCTGACTTTTATGAGTGTGCAGCCTCTGTTGATTATTAAGAGATTCATGGCCTAAGTGCAAAAAGGAAATGCTATAAGCTTCCAGACCTTATGCAGTGAGAGCTGCATAGCCAGTGCACATGCTTACATGTTCCCAGTTAACGACAAGGCTTCACTGAATGAGTCTTAATTTTCAAACAGGGAACTCAGACTTGCACTGAGCAACAAAGAAACATTCTTGTTTCCCCCATGTTAACACTGCTCTGCCGTTGTATTCCACCCCTCAACTCTACTGTGTCATTCTTCAGTCTCACTCAAGCGTTAGCATCAAATCAGTATGTACACACAGGCCATTTAGAGACTTCAAAGTTCAGCATTGGCTGCAGGGGTGAAAGCTCAGCATCCCACTAACATCCCTCGACAGGCCTGGGGGCGTGCAGATAAAAAGCTTAAAACTCAAACAGCAAAGAATCTCTCCCCTGGTTTGTGCCTCTCCAGCCTCAGTTAGATCAATATGTTTTAACCTTGCCGCAAAGGATCTTTAATAATTTGAATTCCGCATTAGATGGCAGTTTATAAACTTGTGTAGCTGTTGAGGTGACAGGATGTTGGGGGGGGGAGTTACACTGACTGTTTTCTTCCTGATTGGAGGATAAAACTGGTGAAGGTTTATGACAAAAGAGCCAAACCATCACAACGGCTTCTTTTAACCCGTTTCAACACGAGACGCTGCCGTCTAGGGGGATGCAAAAGCAGTAAGTGTGCACATGCCTTCTTTCCCAGCACACACTTCAGTTTACTGGCAGCCAACTAAGGGCCACAGAGAGAAAACTGAGCAGACATGGGAAGACTAAGTCTCTCTGCGGGACATGGAAGTGGAGGTTGCCTAAAAGACTAACACATTTGACATTTGCTTTGTCAACAGTTAGAGATTTTATGACTTTGTGTCAAGTTTGTTCTGCAGCACTGATGTTTTCTTTGGTGGCAGTGAATTGTCGTCCCAGCTGATTGCCTTAGCTCTTATACATTCCACCTCCCATGCAGTTCATTGTTCACACTTTGACAAAGTCACACCACATGTCCTTGGGGTAATGTCATTTTACATCACAACACAATGGCATTGCGCATTTGAGTGATGCATAGCTGTTCTCGGCAGACACTGAGCCAAGCATGGCTTAAGACTTAAGAACATCTATCCATCAATCATATGTATGATTTAATATATGCAAACATGTCTTACCAAGCTACCGAACTTCAATAAATGTAGAATATAGAATACATACATATATAAATAGCATGTGCTGTGGTATCTTTGATACCATGTGTTCAAATCTCGGTTTGATTTTCCACAGATGTCCTTGACACACAGGCGCATCAAGACTTTTTGCAGGTCATTGTTATTAAAATGCATCAGTGGTTTCAAATGTAAATTTCACATACTTCTGTATTGAGAACAGTATGAGATTGGGTTCTCTAAATGACATCCAGATTCAAACCTGAAGCTTTTATCCTGGACAAAATATTCACACTGCACATCTAGAAATGTATCATATTGTATGGCACTGTATGGGGAAAAAAGAAAAGAAAAAAGAAAAAGATTCTGTGTCACTTATTCTGTCAGTGGTGAAGCCTCTGTTTAAGGTGCCATATTTATCCAAATTATCTGATTAACATCTGTATCTTATCAAACCATTATACGCTAATGTGAACAAACACCTGGGTGAACACATTTTAACAAGACTGTCTTTCCTTCTTTAAACTACTGCCATTGTGCCTTTGAGCAATGGCATTAAGCAGCAATTGCTTCTCTAAAATTGCTTTTAAGGAAATAACGTAGCTGACACATGGATTTGTTTGTTTGGAAAAAAGGCTACTTTGGGTTCATTCCATCTGCTCTTATGGTGATGGAATTGTAGGTGTCAGCAAAACTGAATTTAACCAAAGCAGGAATGTGAGCTGAACCTTTTTTTTTTTTTTTTACAATAAATAACAACTCGCCTCAAGCTAAGAGACTTACAGTTAAATAGGAAAGGCTGTAAAGTGAAAATAAAATATCTTGTCTTGTGTTTCACCTCCAGCAACAACTATGTCAAAGGTGATATTTAAATTCATTGTTATTTTTTCTTGCATAGATTGTTGGAATGAAAAGAAAAATAGGTTTCAGCAATATATACCAAGAAGCTTGTGATCTTTTACCCTCCAAGCAACTGAGGGGGCAGTATTTAATATTTGATGTGATACTGTTGAGTGAACCTTTCTCTAAAAGCTAAGACAAAAAAATCACTTGAAATAGCACAGAGGAGGCACAGCAATCTGTCCCTGTGTTGGTATTGCATTTGGAATCTAAAATCAGTCTTTACACTTAAAAAAAAAAAAGAAAAAGAAAAAGATTTATTTATTTTTTCCTTAACTGTAGTAGGTTGATGTCATCTTACATAGCCAGCGCTACGTCTGCAGTGCTGTGTCAGTGCTGGGAATGGTCCGACTGTACCTCACTATCTTTCTGCTATAAGTGAAAAATACTGTGGTTTACAGAAATATAAAGACATACGCCAATCATAGTCATCCTGGGCAGTAGTGAGCCCACAATGCAGCAACGGTGTCCTTGCAAAATAACATCAAGCAGCAACTTGTTTAGTTGGAATATGTTTCATTCATGATACTTTCTCCAAAAGCAGTGGACAGCATGTTAGAGAATCCCTATGAAACACTAGATATTGTAAATACATTCTTTGTAGATCTTTACAACCATTCACCAAAAGAACCAAGTAGGTCTGTTGTGTCGTACAGTCCACTTCTTTGCCAAAGTCTGGTACTTTCAACATTTATGTTACTAGCTCAGCGGTTGTTGGTCCCAGTAACAAAGAGGGTTTTATAACTGGCAGAGACAGAGAAAAGCAGGTTAACCTTTCCTAATGTTTTCCTGACAGTATCCAGATCTTACCTTTTTCAGACGTAGAATCCCTTCTTGTGTCTGTGAGTCTGTAATAATCTCAAACATGCCTTGGTCATCCCCCTCAATGATGCTGTAAGTCGACTTGGCATTGTCACCGATGTCACGGTCATTTGCCTTCACTTTGCCACCCATTTTGCCTATTGGTAGATCTTCAGGTATCACAAACTCATACAAACCTGGGGAGGAGCAGACACGGTTCTTTGGTTTCGAGAAATGCAGATCAAAATAAACAAAATTAGGGACGCATATAACAGTACTGCATCATCATTACTCATTACAACAGTTAACGGGAATTAGCTTCTGAAGAGCCTGTTTAATGAAATTTACAAAATAACATTTATTTTTTCCAATTATGGCCCATCAGAGAAATACTCATTTAGAGCAGCAGTAATTTGTTTTTCCCCCTTTATTTGATTTGGGAATTTTAATGTTGTTAAAGTTACTTACTTTTAGAAAACTTTGGTGGATTGTCATTGATGTCCGTGAGCGTGACGGTGACAGCCGTAGTTCCAGACAAGCCCCCCATGTGACCTCCCATGTCTTTAGCCTGAATAACCACCAAATACTCCTCCTTCATCTCCCGATCCATCCCATGGAGAGCAATTTTTATGGTTGCTGGAGGTGGAAACAGTTCATAACACATTAATGCAATTATAAACATGACTGATATACTCTGCACATCATTTTAACGATGCTCATGTGAGTATGCACAAGAAAAGGACGGCATACAGTCACCTTCATGCCCACCTTACTCCCCAGTTCATCACATGCATTGTTTCAGACCGTGACTTTACAAAACAAGGACTCTATACCAAGCCGAGGTACAGAATTCCCTGTAGCTCTTTAAAAAAAATCCCAGTCTGTGTGAGAGTGGTATGGTGGTCATGACTGAGCCAGTCCCAGCACTGTGAATCAGCTGTATTTGTTTTGCAATGTGTTGTTCTGCCGTCTGCAGTCATTTGTATTCTGATTGAGTGTGAATTATGCTGTCTGTCTTGTATAATCTTGAATATTGTATGCAGAATGGACCTTATTGACTCTGCCTCAGTGCTGAATATAAAAAGGGCTCAGCACCGGCATATACGGATAATCCACTCAGGAAACAGAGGCCCGCAGGATCATCAAATGAATATAAAACCCCTCATAAAAGCCAGGCTTTGGCATGACACCCTGCCTTAGTCCTGAGCTGCCTTAGACAATTATAATATGCTTGGCGATGATGAAAAACATGGGAGGGGTTAGGATGTTGTCTGTGCCTGCATTTTATTCTTGCGATAGATTTTCCTTAGAGATGTAGCACAATTTCAGGGTCAGTTTTGCTTTTGGAGGTCAGACACCCCACTGAATATAAAACAACTGGAAGAAGTGCAGGAGAGGAGTTGTACACCTCATCATTAAAACTGTAGTGGAGGAAGGAGCAATGCCCTTGTTGTTCAGATAATTTCATAAATAAAGCAATTTTACCATTGTTTCACTGGGGCTGGGACATGTTTTAATTCCATCCTTAAGCATCACAGGTTGCTCACACCATTCTTCCCACAGCCTTATAAATTATTTACATTTTCACAGTAAAGACCGAATAAGCATATGATATAAAATGGAGCATTTGGCAACTGTTGAATCAACACAACAAAGTGATTTGCACCAGTTGGTCACTTTAGTGTCGTAGATCACTGCAGGGTTACTTTCACATATAATGTTTACAACTCGACATGAAATGTCTTGACATCCATTTTCTCTTGGTGCCTACATCACTGCTCTGTGGGTACAAATGAAAATCATTTCCAAAATAATGTGTAGAAAAGTATCGCGGTAACATTTTAAGTTTGAAACACAAGGCTTTTATGACAGGAAAGTGGACTGCTTCACCAGCTACCTGACCTTCTACAGAGATGCTGTTGCACCTGTGAGGACTGTGCATTGTTTTCATAATAAACCCTGGATCACCTGTGACATCAAGAAGCTCCTTAACCAGAAAAAGGCAGCCTTCAGGGATGGTGACAGGGGAAAGCGCAAAGAGGTACAGCAGGCGTTAAAGAGGAGCCTGAAACAAGCTAAACTGGACTACAAGAGGAGGGTGGAGAGGAAGCTGCAGCTCAATAACATCAGAGAGGTGTGGAAGGGAATGAAGACCATCACTGGCTATAAACAAAAGAACAGCCTGACTACAGTTGGTGGTCTGGAAAGGGCCAACGAGTTCAACATATTCTTCAATAGGTTTGACTTGGGGTCCACCTGGGGGGACCTGTCCGGCACCCACTGTTACAGCACCACCAACCCCCCTCCCCGCCTCCAGCTGCTGCCTTTCCTCCATTCCCCCCTTCTCCTTCTCCATCTTCTCCTCACGGCAGATCCATCACTACAACTGCTCCCCCCCTCTCAACCACCTGCCCCCTGTCCTTTACAATGGAGAAGGTGAGGGCAGAACTGAAAAGACTGCGTCCAGGGAAGGCTGCTGGTCCAGACAGTGTGTCCCAGATTGTTGAAGGCCTGCGCTGACCAAATGGCTTAGCCGCTCTGAGAGGATCTTCAACTACAGCCTGCAGATGGAGAGGGTCCCAGTCCAGTGGAAAATATCATGTCTCGTGCTGGTACCCAAGGCTGGGCGCCCAGTTGAGCTCAATGACTACAGACCGGTGGCCCTCATGTCACACAGGAAGAAGACTCTTCTGGAGAGGTTGCTTCTTCACCACCTGAGACAGCAGGTCCAACATGCTAATGATCCCCTGCAGTTCGGGTACCAGGAGAGCATTGGAGTGGACGACACTGTTCTCTACATGCTCCACCAGGCTTACACCTACTTGAACGAGCCAGGGAGTTATATGAGGATCATGTTCTTTGACTTTTCGAGCGCTGTTAACACTATACAGCCTCTCTTACTGAGAGAGAAGCTCGGAAAAATGGGAGCGACTCCCTCCGTCAATGCCTGAATTACAGACTATTTGACAGGACGAACACAGTTTGTCAGGCTGGCAAACTGTGTCTCAGGGACAGTGATGAGCAGCACTGGAGCTCCGCAGGGGACTGTTCTCACCCCCTACCTGTTCACTCTGTACACAGCAGACTTCAAGCACAACTCTGAGTCTTGCCACGTCCAGAAATACACAGCCATTGTGGCATGTGTGCGGAGAGGGCAGGAGGGGGAGTATAGAGACCTTGTGAGGGCCTTTAGTGACTGGAGTGAGCAGAATGGCCTTCTCCTGAACACGTCCAAGACCAAGAATACGGTTGTAGACTTCTGTAGGTCCAGACTCTCCCTGCAGCCTGTTAGTATCGAGAGGGTGCAGACCTATAAATACTTAGGTGTGCACCTGGACAACAAGCTGGACTGGTCGGCCAATGTGGATCTACAAGAAGGGACAGAGTCGGCTGTTCTTTCTTAGGAAGCTAAGATCATTTGATGTCTGTGGGGAGATGCTACAGATGTTCGATGAGGCGGTAGTAAGCATCCTCTCCTATGCTGCTGTCTGCTGGACAGACAGCATCACAGACAGGGATGCCAAGCAACTGGACAAGCTGGTAAAGAAGGCCGGGTCGGTGATAGGCGGGAGCATAGTCCCACTGGGGACTATGGGGGAGAGGCGCATGCTGAGCAAGCTGCAGGACATCAGAGACAATGCCAGCCACCCTCTCCACCACATCTTGGCAGAACAGAGCAGCAGTCGTAGTGGGCGGCTCATCTCTCTGCGATCGTGGACTGAGCGGCACAGGAGGTCCTTCCTCCCAGCAGCCAAAAGGCTGTATAATGATCCATTTTAGAGGGTAAAGGCTCCGATAATGACAGTATCCCTAGGCTTCAGCACTTTCAAAAGGTTTTTAAAGAATTCTCAGTTACAAGATGCTATACACACACACACACACACACATATATATATATATATATAACAGTCTGAATATATATACAACAGTCTGAATATATATAATGAGTCTGTAAGGGGTTCCATAGAGGTGACGGCAAAAGTGAACTTTTTGAGTGTCTTGTCTATCCCAGACGTTCATTCCGCAAAACTTACAGCTGAGAGACTTTGCTGAATATCAGGACAATGAATGTTGCTAAAATTGCGACACTCGGTTGTGATTAGGACACACTACACTAACACGGAGTCCGATCGGAGACTACACCGGCAGTTACCCGAGAGAGAAGAAAGTGGCACGAACGTAAACAAATGAGGAGGAAGAGAGCTGGAATCCATGCTAGGCTAAAGGCTAACCCCTCCCGACCAGCAGGACCGTTGCTCCTACTCTCCAATGTACGCTCCCTCAACAACAAGCTGGATGAGTTATGTTCGCTGAGAGAAACCCGCAGAGAGTGGACAGACTGGTGTGTGTTTGCTTTTACAGAAACATGGCTCCATGACAACATCCCCGACTGCCATACAGCTGAAGGAGATGACATGGTTCTGGGTGGACAGACAGACAGCTACCTCTGAACTCTCCCAGAGCAGGACACTGAACATTGTCAGGGACTCCTCACATCCTCTCCATAAACTGTTTGAACCTCCTTTGTTTACGTTCGTTGCGCTTCCTTCTCTCTCGGGTAACTGCTGACATAGTCTCCGATTGGACTCCGAGTTGGTGTTGTATGTCCAAATCACAATATAGCGCTGCAATTTTAGCAACGTTCATTGTCCTGAGGTTCAGCAAAGTCTCTCAGCTGTAAGTTTTTTGGAATGAACATCTGGGATAGACACGCAAAACATTCAACTCTCACTGTCTCCTGAAGGGGCTGCTGTGTTTTTGCGCACCGCCATCTCTATGGAAACCCATACAGATTCATTATATACATTCAGAGTTTCATTCCATACATTCATAATTTCCTAAATGGCATGCCATATACAAGTTATCCAAATGTTCAGTAAATAAAGTGATGCTGGGTGGCGTAGCATTATGGGAATGTACTAATAGAAAAGTTGTTCAATAACAGATTTGCACAGCATCATTATTTGAAAAATGAATAGAGAAGCAGTTTGAATAGACAGTGGCATGGTAACACAAGAATAGTTTGCTACATTTCTATTAAAGCTTTTTATATGTATAAATATATAATAACAATGCTGATATTCAAGAGATCACTGCAATAGCCAGTTTCATAAGAAAGCAAGAGACACATATTAGGAGGACATCTCAGGTTTAAGGACAGATAAAGTAAAATTATTGTTAGCTGCAACACTACGTACAGTACGTAGTATGTTGTGAATATACATGGGCCTCTCTGAGAGGGGACACTGAACATACTGTAAATGCAACATCCAAACCAACAAGTCTTTGCCATTTTAAGCCATTAACATGCCCAAATAAAATATTTTAAAGTGCCACTTGTTATTGCACTGTGCTCTCTGTCAATAACAACAATCGGATATAACTAAGTACATATGGACAGCTTTATGCTCAGCATACTGTCATGCTGTACAAATGTATCCCAAGTCTGACTTTAGTGCAACCTCTGATTGAGAACAAGGTAGGACCACCTTTCCCCACACAATAAACGAATCTCTCTGTAAAAACAGCAATGCAAACAAGTCATTTGTACTCATACTTACACGCACACACACACACACACACACAAACACACAAACACACACACACACACACACAATGTACTTAAGTCATCCTACTAGATGCAACACTCTCATCTCTGTTGATCATCGTTAATTATTCAAATTAATTCCTAATCACTGAAAAGGGAGGATAGACAAACACTCATTTCCATAGATATTTGCCTCAACTTTTTTTTTTTTTTTTTTGTCAACGACCATTAACCAAGTGATGAATTGGGGCATGATGTTTATTTATTTATTGAATGCTTTTCATTTCCAATGTGGTGTTGTAAGTGTCAAACACATTCTAATGGTTGTTTTCCCCTTACCTTTTATTTTTCATTAACATTCATTAAAACATCTGGCTCACTCGAATGAGCCATCTGCATGTGCTCCACAATCACACAAAGCATGAATGCTAATCCTTAAATTGTCCGTTCAGCGTGTTTTCTAAAGCCACGTTCCGGCTGCAGATGCTTCGAGATTGTGATGCCTATAGCGGTGAGAACGAGCCCAAAGTGTTCATTCTAATTATGTACATAAATTTTGGAGCTCCCTTTCTTGCAGCTTGTTTATTGTGTGCTGTTTTCCAAATTGTGAGCCGTCGATTTCCATCTCATTTCTTATTAATGTAATTTCACCATTATTTAATCATATTGCTTACAGACACATGTTAAAAAGTCAGCTGAAAAAGCAATTAAAGATCCAATCTGGATCTGTTTTGAGATAACTTTATGCATGATGACACTGCTGAAGAGTTTTCCTTGTGAAAGGAAGAATCATTATTATGTGGAATCCATAACCCAGTGATGTTACACAACACTGCAGCATATGAGTTTTGGCCCATTTAGCATTTACAGCTGAACGAAAACATGCAACTCATGGATGCAAAACTCTGTTCATATATATTTGATAGTTTAAATTATGAATTCCGTGCAGCCCATTGGTGAACTACAGAGTATTGTTTCACTGATAATCAGCTGACCTTGCTTAACCAGGACCAACATAATACCACTGATATTAATAAACCATGTGTCGATGTATTGCACTGATAAAAAGCCTTTATTTTCCTCAGCCACCTACATGCATCTACACTTCCTGCTGTGAAAGGCTACACACGTCTGCAATATAATTGTTCCGTTTCTGTACAATGCTGGATTATTTTAATATGCAGATTCCAATCACTTTTGAGTGATATTGTGAGTATATCATATTTTCCATCTGTGATGTTATCAACATAGCCTGATTAAGAGCTCTGTGAGACCCATCGAATTTACTGAGAGCTACATTGTGTAGACTGTATTTCTCTTTCACTTATCTTCTAGGTTGTGTGGGTGCTTTTTCCATATTTAAAATGTTTATTTTTTCTTACCAGGTTTCTGCATTATATTCATATTTCATGTTTTAATTAAACCCATAAACTCCTCAGTTTGGTTATAGTGCCCCCAGTAATAGACGTGTTTGCCCCAGTGTACAGCTTATGTTTTGAAGCATAAGTGTGCATGAGTGAGCAGCTGTAAAGGGAAGCGGTGAAGAAAGAAAGTGAGCCTGGCAGCCCGAGTTAACGGGAGCCTCACGCAGCGATAATCTACAAGCATTTCAAAAAACAGATGGGCTGAGTTACCTGCAGTCCTGTTGTTGTTACACCACTTTTTAAGCTATAACCAACATTGTCAGCTCCCTTTTAGCATGTATTTGATAATGTTGTCCCTCACAGGCTTGCTGAGTAGAGGTGTGCTTGCATAATGATATAGACATATACACTGATCAGCCTCAATGCGAAACCACCTGCCTAAGATTGCGTAAGTTGTGCTGCCAAAATAGCTCTGAGGGCAAGTTTTCATGACATGCACATGGACATGAGCGCTCTGTCTGGTGTACAGCTACACATATGCACCACGGTATAATGCACTGTGTGTTTTGACATCTTTCTTTCATCTCCAGCACTAAGGTTTTCCCTACCTCGCAAGCTTTCGCTATCTGCGTGCATCACTGAGCCTCGGGCACCCTTGATCCTGTCATGAGTTCAGCGGTTCCCCTTCTTTGCACCACTTTTGGTAGATACTAACTACTGCAAAGCAAGAACTCTCTACAAGACCTGTTGTTTTGACGATGCTCTGACCCAGTTGTTCTACTATCACAACTTGTGAAAGTCTCTCAGATCCTCACATTTCCCATTTTTCCTGCTTCTTACACTTTATGTTCAAGAACGGTCTATTCATGTGCTGCCTAATATGTCCCGCACCTTGACATGTGCCATCGGGACAAGATAGTCAATGTTAGTCTCTCTGGCCGTTGTTTTGAATGTACATATTAACATAGTCAGCATGGGGTTTACTTTCTTAAAGTGTGTGCACTTTTAGCATAATGTGCAACTACAGAGTGAGATCACCTCAGGTGGGCCAGCAGGTGGGAAGCTGTTGCCTCTCCACCTGCTGGAACCTGTGCAACCTGTAGCACCTGCAGACAGCACACTTGTACATTAAAAATGGGGTTCACTCACTCAGTCACTCAGTCTTTTCCATTTGAGTTGACAGCATTTACAGCACAGGTATATATATGCAGTTGAAACTCTGGCAACATTAGAAATGAATGTGAAGTGATATAAAACTAAACTACACATACTCTACATGTCCTTTTAGTTTTTTTTTTTATTTCATGTACAGATGAGGGCTACACGGTAACTCGGTGGTTAGCACCGTTGCCTCATAGCTAGAAGATTCCTGGTTCATCCCAGAGAGGGTTCTCCAGCTTCCTCCCACAGTCTAAAAACATGCTGAGGTTAATTGGTGATTGTAAATTGTCCGTAGGTGTGAATGTGAGTGTGCTTGGTTGTCTGTCTCTAAATGTAACCCTGTGATCGACTGGTTACCTGTCCAGGTGAACCTGACTTCACCCTGAGTCAGCTGGGATGGACTCTGTTTCCTGTGACTCTAGTGAGGATTAAGTGGTGTATAGATAATGGATGTCTAGATGTCTGAGGTGTTTTCCAGACAAGAAACAGCCACTGGTTTCTAATCAGCTCGGTGTGGTTTTAATTCATTCTGCGCTAATAAAACAGAGTGATTCAGTGTTTCCGAGGTGCAATGAGTTTTGCTGGTAAACCAGTTCAGAGCAGGGACAATCTGCCTTCTGGTAACTGTGGAAGGCTTGAAAAAATCTGGTTAGCACCTATAAATACTTGTAACCCTTCTATAATAACTACTGCAATATGCTTAAACTAGTATAGGACATTTTCCGTTATCAGTCGGGTGACTGTCAAAATGTTTACAAACGCAAAACTTACATCATAATATCCCTCTGCATAATACATAAAAGTGTTCACAGTTACCACGTAGACATTCAGCTGTTTGTTGGGGATCTGATACTGTTGGGTCTTTAAAGCTTTAAAGGTCCTGCAGTTGGGGTGGTACCTTATCCGCATCTTTGCACGAGAAACCTGACCCTTCTTTGCTAAAGTTATTCCTAACTGTCAGTTGGATGTACTTAGCTAGAAACTCGGTCAAATAGTGATAGCCCACAACTTGACCTAAGGCAACATTGTAAGCTCATTTATCTAAGTTGAAGCAGGCAATGAAAAAGGACAATGTTTAAATACTAAAAGGCTTTGCCCTGGTGTGTCTGGCCCTGTCTACAAGAAAAAGACTGTTGAAATAATCCCTAGATGTAATCACGATCTGACTGTAAAGCCCATTTCTTTCCTTTTTGTCCCATTATGGGCGTGGTTTTCATTCATTACATTTTGTAATACATTATGCTCTCCATTGGTTAGACACAGACAAAGGACTTGCACATTGTATTAATAGTGCCCATTAAATTTAATGAAGCAACGTTTCGATCTCACAGAGATCTTCATCAGGCTTTGTCAGGCAAACAATGAATACCGGTACAAAGAGCTTTCTCCAGCCCCACAGAGGTGTCCTCTTCTTTAAAGTCAAAGTGATTACAGTGGACTCTGTACTATTGTGTGCTGAGCCTTTAGCATGTTATTTATCGTGTAAAATTTAAGTTTGCGGTTGACATGGCAGTAAGCAAGTTGACATGGCCATCCTGGACAGCAGGTTCTTTCAAGCAGTGTTTCAAACATACTCTTAAATGGCTTACAGTGTGTGGCGCTCTAATTAATTAGTTAATTTCAGTGCAACCCTCACAACATTTGTGCCCTCACCATTACCACAGCAACAAGTGAAGGACTGCCCTTACCTGAGTTGGGGTCTATGGAAAAATATGGTTGCCCCTCCAGTATGCTGTAGACTAGTTTAGCACTGTTCCCATACACTGGATCGTCGGCATCTGTAGCTGTTACCCTGGTGACCGGGGTACCTGTTGTGCAGAAGGACAGAATTATGAACTGCAAAGCTATAAGTAATCATCTCTACATGGGAATAAAGTGAAATGTGGAGGTGCCAAGCTAGTCATTATGGGACTATTCAACCCTATGTGAGGTTGATTTCTTTCAAAAATCCAGTTCCATTTAGAGCAATTGAACTTTGTGATTCACTTTAAAAAAAAAAAAAAAAAAAGCTAGGCCCTGCCTAGCTCTGTCAAAATTTCAACAGGACCTTTGCTTTAACATGGATTGTAAGAGAGTGTATTTCCACAAACTGTTCTGGTAATATGCTGCCCCTTACTGTTAATCCATCTTGTGTGTGTACAGTTCTAGAGTCAAAGTGTCAATTATGTGTGGCAAATGTGACACGATCCCAGAAGAAATATGTTGTAATAAGTGTTTGGCCTAAGTGAGCAAAGTAGTGAAGACAGCGACGGTTAGTCGTCTGGTTGGTCCTGCCTGACACTGCATTTGTTAGCTAGCGTGCATTTAACCTGACAGCGATGCATTTGTCATATACTTATTGTAGTATAGCAGGAAAAGTAAATGCATCTATTGATCACCAAGTTATACATTTATAGTTGCTAGACTACAGTGCACACATCAAACACCTGAGAACACTGTTGAAGGTTATTAGATACTCACACATCTTGGAGCTTCACTTAAAGCAAACACGAAGCCTTCACACACAAAGAAAACACTTCACCTTCTGTAAAGAGTATTCCTAATAAAAAGTTTGGCTTTGCTAATGTAACTATTGGCACATGTATTTTTAAAATGCTACTTGGATATCACAGATCCTTTAACAGTCCTGCAATTAGCCATTACCTTCACCCCAACAATACCCAATGTAGTAGAAATTAGGTTCTCTATTAAACCAGCCTTGTGAGGTTTGAAGAAAATGTATGCATGGAGCTTCATCAATATTCCAGCTGTGCCAAATGCTCAAGGCAAATCAGAAAATACATTAGTGACAATTCAATCCGCCATTCACAGCTCTATTATAAGGTATCAGGAAAAAGTGCACAGAAAATCTGAATATAAAGAGACAATTAACGCAATTAAACTCATCCATTTTAATTCACAGTGACCAAGCTCCTCATCAGTCCCAGTGTGAGGAATGTGTGTGAGAAAAAAGGAGAGAAAAGAAGTCGACATGCTGACAGTGAGCAACACACTGGCAGGTAGCTACAGATGGTATGGTAATTGTTTCTGTGAAAGATGTTTAGAGGTGTTCTGACAACAAAGGGAGATGTCCCTCATCGCAGTCGGCTCAGGTCCTGCCACCGGCACCTAAATCTGTCCACTGCAAACAAAAAGGCTTGTAATGTAAAGATCTGCGCCAAGTACGACTTCTGGCTGCAGCATTGTGATTCAGAAGTTCTGGTAATGAATTAAAACAGGAAAAAGAAGAAAGAAAAATTGTACGCCAGATGTGATGGAAACACAGTCTCAAGATTCACAGTGTGGAACCTACAAATCAGACATCTGTGTTCTGTTGCTGTGTTGTCTTTTTCTGGCTCAACAAGCACTGGAACAATCCCCGCTGAACTGCTGACCAATGTGCAGCACAGTGATGACTTAACCTACAAGATACTCAAAACTAACTGGGAATAGATATTTAAACCCAAATCCTTCCAGCAATGCATTACTGCTGAAAAACAGAATGCACTCTCATTAGGACAGCTGCACAAAAGATGATTTTCACACCTTTGTGGTAGTTTTGGGATTTATCTCCTGCTTTATGCCATCATCTACATGTGTCAACCATTGATTAATAGTCACTGCAGTGTCTGCGGTCTTGTAACAGCAAAACAAAGCAAAAGCTACCTTTGCACTCTAACTGGAGTAGCAGTTTCACTGTTGCAACCCAATTATTTCACAGTGAGAGAGCCTCAAGTGGTCCTCTGAGACAGAGGTGTTCTAGTAATTCATAGTCTTATGATGACCCATGCTGTTGTGTTGCCAAAGCTTACCTTGTAAATTTCATTCTGCTTGTTACACCCCTTGCCTTTTGCAGTGTTTAGATCACCGCAGATCAATGAGCTCTTTTTCTTTCCGTGTTTCTGCTTGCTGCACTGCCACCAGCAAAAAAAAAAAAAAAAAAAACAGAACATTATGACTTGATGTCAGCTCCTGATGGACTTGGATAAAATGTTCTTTTCTTGAATCCACTCGAGTGTCATTGAGATCACTTACTCTCCATCTTCATATAAACACGGCCAGCATGCTCTTCGTGTTATTACGTTTCAGTAGCTATTAACACTGCATATTATAGCACAGTTTGTGCTCAGCAGAAGCTGCACATGTGTAGCTAAAAAATCTCACATTACTATAAATTTAAACACCTCAGTATGAGATTCTTCATGTCTGCAATACACAGCTCTACATTTGCGGTTTATGGGGAAACTTCCCACAAAAGTGTTACAATTAATAATGTGTCAAATAAATTTGTTGTCAGAATGTAAGGAAACATAATTATATGAACTGTATTCCACAAATGTGTGCATTAATAGAAATTGGTGCGCTCATGCAGTATTTCTGGAAAGCAAATTATATCCTGTGTGCCATAGGTGTTTGCCAATTGTCAAATGAATAAAATGAAAGACAGCTAAGGAAATTGCACCTCCTTTGTTTTTTTAGAGATACATAATCTTTTCTGTCATAAAGTTAAATTACTACGACTACAGAGGAAAGAAAGCAGACATCTACACATCCCTAATTATGAAAAGTACCTTCTTACTTCTAAAAGGTGTCTGAATATTGCAAACAGGCTTTTTTAAATTCAGTTACACTATAGATTGAAGTGGGGAAGTAGGGGTAAGAAAAAAAAAAAAAATCTTCATAAAAACAGTGGAACCAGTGAGGCATGAAATAGCTCCCTCTTTCTTTCTCTCCCACAGGGGTAAAATGCTTCTCACCACCCCTGATAAAAAATGAGGGATTAGGAAAGCCAGTGTTTTGGTCCTGTTTCAAATCAGTGCAGATTAGCTCGTACTTCCCCTTGATAATGCACAGAAATTTCAGGGACACTGCAGAAATGGATGCAGCTTTAGGCCAGGCAATGGGCACAGAAACCCAATTGTAGGAGGAATATGGTCTCTAGCTTTTATTTGAGGCCTGTAGCATTGTGCTGATTACAATAATAGCAACACAACACCTACAATATAAACTTCCAGGGATGAAAAAGCTGAATGGTTGCTAAAAACAAAAGTCATGCAGGGAGGAATTATGTAAAAAGCCTACACTGGAAAATGGAGAATGTTCACTGGAATGCAGCTGATGTCCTGCACCGCTTTGGCAGCCTCCCTAGCAAGGAAGTGCTACACATCACTCTTGGTCAGACCTGCTAGAAATGTGGAAGTAGGTGCAATCATGCTATTTTGTGTCTAAATGGATTTGTCTCACTTTACTCTGGCTGCCTAACAGATGCCCAGACACTGAAGGATTGCATATCACCTTTTCCTGGGAAAGCAAATCTCCCTCTGTTGGTCTGGCCAGCGGCCTGCAGGGTGAAACACACTAAGCATGTTTGAAAATACAGCCTGCATTCACGCTTGTTTTCCCTGGCTAAGTGTAATCTCATTAATCACGTCCTGAAGTTCACAGGCTTTAATACCACGCCGATAATTTAAGCACACATCATTTCCAAAGGATGTCATTACTGTATATGAACCATTTACATCATATTTACAGCTGTAGTTTTTTGGTTGTAGAGCTTTTGGTGGCTGAAGGAAGCCTCATAATAAAGACATGGGGGTCTAGCCTTATGTTTTATCAGCCAACAGAAATGATAGTGCACACTTCCTATTTACTCTGTGCACTGGCTCAGGGATAGGAAATCAATAGGAATCTTCCTTGAACCAGACCGGGGACAAATTGGGGCATGCAGCCCGGTGTGACACACAATGGCTGTGGAAGGACATTGCAGCTTATTTCTGTAACACATTATCCTACAACACAGCTTCATCTGTATAGTCTGCTTCTTCCTTCAAAGTGTTGCAAGGCTAATAAAACAGTGGCAAGTCATAAAGACGTAGCTTTGAGCCATCACAAGATACTCATTTGCAGACACTTACTGTACACAGCAGGGTGGAAGGGAAAGGAAACTAATTTGAAAATTAGACACTACACTTGTCTATAGCTTCATCTACGCACAGGGATTTCACAGATATTTGTGATATACTGGTCAGCAGTATTTTACCCAATAAAACAACACATTTTATTTGATGTACAACAAAAGCTCAAGCATGATTAAATGTTAAAATATATACATGCACCGTTGCCCATGCAGTTGGAATAAAATATTTTTTACGTCTTCTCCTGAAGTGATTGTGACAATGTGATTTATTCTTGATAGTTAAAGTGTATATCCTCTCAAAACTATATTGATATCACAATATACATACAATACATATCACAGTAAAAAATAAACCACAATTAACTTTTTCAAACTGTGTATTCAGGCTTAAACTAAACTGGAGGTATTGAACAATAGGATTAAGGGTTTAGTTTCAGTTTTTCAACCTTGGTCCCTTTAACAGGAAACATCATGTATTTGAGGGGATTTCATGCAAAAGAATGTCCAATATTACTCTTTAAATGTCCCTTAGTCACTAATATTGAGTCTGACCACCCCTGACACGGATCATTGTGTTCAGACATGGTGGCATACTGTCCACCAGCTGGTTGATGCTGTCAATGGGCAGGAAGTCCCACTCTTCAGTCAGATCCTGAAGTCAGAACTGGTTTCACCTGGTACTTGGGACTTAGGATGTCATCACTGCAACTGGTCAAAGTGATTACTGATGTGTAGAGATAGAAATAAAAAGAGGAATGTGTTTTTATGGGCGATGGTGTATACCATTATATTCATTTACCCCAACTAGTGGCATCAAGACAGTTTTATTCAGTATTTCTTGTCAAATTGACGCCATAGTTTAATGCTGATAGACGGGCGTGATGGGCTCCTCCACAATTAGGGTTCTTTACA